AAACCACCTGGAGCATGCCTTGAAACTGACCTAGGATGGGGCTAAACTTCGACTGCGGGTAACATCCTTTCCGTAAATGATTGGAGTAAACTATCAACCGAAGCCATCACCGCCACCTCAATGGCTGATTTCAAACACCAATTGGATAACGTATGTTATAATGCAGTGGAAACGATTTTGATGACCGACAGCTGTTTCGTTCTGTGTGGGACTCGTCAGCAGTGCGTACGTTCTGTGTCCCTGTCAGGACTCGAACCGCAAACATTTGGGTCAGCACTTCAAACCGTTACCTCTGAGCTACACACGGTCGACTTTTATCACCTGGTGCGAATGGCTCAATCAATTTAGATGGTCATTGTTTGGATTAGGCTATTCGGTTTCTCACAGGCACCAGGCACTGTTGATGATGTTTGGAGTGAGTTTCACTCCTTGAAAGATCGTTAATTCCCCGCCGTTCGAGTCTTGATAGGGACATAAAAGATAGGCACTGCTGACGAGTCCCACATAGGAGGAAACAGCTGTTTGCTGCTCTTTTGGTCGGTTATCGCAAACAGTTCCACTTCCACCGCATTTTAAATGCATTCAAATTTTGGAGTATAAACGATCTCCCGGGGGATTGAAACACCCACCGAACGTCATCAACAGTGAAAAACCGAATCAGCTAATTCAAAAATTGACCATCTAAGCTTATGGTATAATTTGTTCATCGGAAAAAAGTAACGCGTTTTTTACGCTGCTAAAACCGGTCTCCCTCCCTCCCTCCCGACCCATCCATCCATCCATCTTCATTCCAGTGACTCTCCCCCAAACCTCCTCAATTCATTTCGCCTCCCAACCCCACACTGCTTGCTCATACGCCTATTGTTTTTCATCATTATCACCCTCCAGGTGTTTAGTGTTACTCTTTCATTTCTTGATTTGCACATGTTCGACAGTTCACGTAAGACGAACGATGAACCGGCTTTGAAAAAGCGTCGGTAAGCGTAAAACTGTTCCGGATAAGCCTGGTATGCCAGGACAAGAACAACCAGCGCGATCATGGTCTGATATCGAGACATCCAACAAAGCATTTAAATCCATTTGCAATAGGCTCTACGAAAAATCGAAATAATTTCGGCATCATCCGCAAATGGTAGTAGAGACCACAATTAAAATAATTAAAAAAAATGGCTTCCGCTCCAGGTCCACTTAAACAACGAACCGTCACGAACCGGATCATGATCCGAATCATATGTTTAGGACGCAATATGGTATGACAATAACGAATGTGAAAAAGGCAACTGAAAATTTACCAGAAGTGACCTCGGTAACCCACTCTTTTTCTACGTGCTCGTACATGACTTGAAAAGGTTGTTTCTTTTACATTTAACTTCAAATGATCAAATCACGTTCGTTTCTATCTTACAAACATAGGTAACTATAAATGCTGCAACGCACTGACCCCGAAACAGGCTTGTTCTGTATGACTTGGAAATGTAATTTATTTTCGGTTTACAGGGATCCGGCGTGATTAGGTTCAACTAAAACATTTTTATAAACTTAATTGTGCCAAGATATCAATTCCAGTAGTGCCTCGGATACTGACCTTCATTCTGTTATATGATCCTGGGTTGACCGAATTCCCTGGCCCTCAGTGGCCCTTTTTCCTTACTCACGCACTCACTCACTGAATAAGCTGTTCANGTAAGATAACATGAAATGTTTGATCGTTTCGACGATCCCATTCGCAGTCTGACTATATCCACCCAAGCTGGTTCCGAATCTGAGACAAGATTCTAATTTGGAATCTGTCAAAATGGGCGAAACTGAGAGGTACCGAATGTTTTTCTGCCTATTTTGCGTATTGCTCAAACTCCGGTCTGTGGTGGACAAACTTGGACAATCAAGGTGGCACGGTGAGCACCAAAGATTTGCGGTGTTGGATAGTTCTCGTTTCTGAAACGCGAACCCCCTTCCGACCGGCCATTTTTCTTCCCTGCAATCTGTGACAATCGGGTCGGTCAGTGGGGGACAATAAATCAAGTACAAATCACCGAACAAAAACCACCATCAAACAGGGGTCGGTCAAATAAAACGGCCAATCGGATTCGTCGCGAGGCCGAAACAAGATTATAAATTACACCCAAGTGTTCACCTCTCGCTCGGAGCGCATTCACCGATCACGCTTTTAGCGATGCGACAATTGGTTTTCGTTTTAGCGGTGCTTGTCGTTCTGCTCGCACAATGCAACCAAACCAGATCGACTCCGTTTGGAATGGTAAGTCCCGAGTGAGTGGCTCTTTGAAATTCGATTCGCTTTATGCTATATACATTTTATCCATTGGCTGTTTATTGCTATACATGAAACCGAGCAATGGATTGGAAAAAAGAACTCACAATAAATGTTTGTGCCCACCTGCATGGTTTGAAACCGCGATAAATAGATTATAAATATTTTGCAAACTCTATCCTACCATAGCTAAATGAGGAACCGCTGTCGAATTCCCACTCCCGCACAGAGGCACCTATCGATTCTGTGTTGTGTATGCTGTGGAGGCTGCATCGCAAACTAACCCAGACAAGTCTCTTCTGAACCGGAACTTACTGTTTTAAATTTCACATTTACTTCTCATGTACACAAGTTACCACCACATAAGTTAGATCTTCCCGGGGAATGTGCCACCGCTAGGCAAGTATTATGTCCTCTTCGCAAGACGAAAGAAGCGAGTTGTCTCACACTTGCGAGCTCTCGAACTCAGGAAAACAAACCGTTCTACGAAACAGATAAACTGCATCACCATTTGATTTTGGAAATATTGCACCATTCGGTATTTCATCTGTCCAGTCCAGGTGGCAGTCGGAGATTTTTTCCGTACTCATGCATTCGCACTGATCACCAAATAAGAGTTTCGGTTAAACGGAATTGTTTGAACAAAAATCTAAAGGGGGAAATGTTTTAGAAATTCATATTGGTGAGAATATTGTTCATGCTATGTGAATACCAGAAAATATCCTATTGGTACGTGTTAGTATACATGTAGTTGTGCGTAATTTTTTGTATACACCTGTGGTTTGAGATTGGTTCGGCGTTCATTCCAGCCTTGCATGCAGATCACAAGTAATCCGACGTATTTGACACAGGAATCGTACAAGTTGTTCTCTCCCACGCCGGTCTGACAATATGATGGGTATTTTAAGGCACACTATTCCCGGATTCAGAAATGTTGTAGATGGATAATTCAAATATACAATTGTTTTAATGTTATTGATAATTAATTTTTGTCGACTATCCAACCAAACCGAAATGATCCTTTATCGCATTCACCCTCCTGCATGAATACACAATACAGCTCAATCCACAGGCGGAGTATATGAACTCGTTACGCGTAGACAGTGCATTGGAACGATGCATCCAAATGATCAGTGCTCAGTTAGCACAACGATTCCGACGATCTGTGAGTGCTGTCATGATGAGCGGAATGGGCACATATGGCCAAATGGAGCAACTGAGACAGTGCATGCTTCGAGAATTTGCCGGGAAAATTCCACCACATCACTGGAATATGCTTGAGAACACGGAATAATTCACTTCCACCAAACATTTTGTGCTACATCAGGTAACCAATCCCGATCCCCATCTCAAACTCGGATAGTCCCAAGTGCAGTTCAGGACAACTGGCTCGTCTCTTTGAGGACCTATGCGGCGAGTAGTGTTATGTCTTTCTCAATGATCTAAATTCGACTTCCACCCATCCAACCACCCCGTGAGATTTGGGTCTACCATCCGTCTTAAATGACCAGGAAACTGATGTACCGTTCGCATGATTCGTATCTTATTTGGTCTATATGTCGCACATACACATCAATATTGAAACATGTAAATTGTTTTTTTTCCACTTCCCAGAGTTCAGTGATTGACATAGAGTGGCAATCAGAAATGTGTACTTTTATAATTCACAAGAATCCACAAAACTCGATTCATCTGTTGTTTGCAAATGGTAGTGAAATCTGGGGAACAGATCTTCCCGTTTGATCAAAACCACCGTTATGTCAACCCAGGTAACGACATTTCTTGTCTCTACAGTAGAATAAATTGTTACAAGCCTACCGTACGCGATCACTTGATCTCCCATGTCAAGCGTGGAACTCTCAATTTCCGTGTTTTCTCACCTCGTAATTAGCAGAACAGGGGTAAATGAGACTGATAGAGATCCATCGTTTTTATCCGCATGTGGTGAGTAAACATATTCAACCTCGCATTGTTCTGCAAGCCACCCCACCCCTGAAAAAGAAATACCCAGGCCGCACTCCATGATAATTATTGAAC